CCAGTATCGGATTCTGAGAAGAATGAAGGGTCCAAAGCATAACAGCGTGTGTACGGAGGAGCGCGTCAAAAGTCTTCGCGACAGGGTAGGCAACGCACTGACGCACCATAGGTCTTGGCATTTGCTGTTTTAACAGCTTATTCACTGATATCCTCCCACTCATTATCTACAACAATTTTGATAGCCTTTACAGCTGTAGCCTCCCTCTCAGTGCCCTTTCCTGTTCTCCTACCCTCTTTATACTCATTGCCACCTTCTAATCTAATGATATTTTGAATATGAATTGGTATTCTTTCAATCCACTCTTGAATCTTCTACTGAGGTAGCTCATCCCAAGCTTTCGTCCAAGCTCTAGTAGCTTCAACCTTACTCCTTGGAGCTCCCTTTTTCGTAGTAAGCCTCTTCATATATGGCCAGCAGCACTCTATTGCATTAAGATCTGGTGAATTACCGCACCAGAGTAGCCTAGCTACCTTAAATATATTAAAGACCTTCTGTTGTGAGTGATGCGCATAAGAAGGAGCTTTATCTTCTTAAACAAGAGTATATGGCCTCTCTTTCTTACACTCTTAAGCAAAAGGTAGAAGCTTAGGTATTAGTATTTTAGAGCGATATCTCTACTAATTAATACCATTTCCTTTACCACGAGTAAGCTTACCTGTATCTATAGTAAATTTCCAAGTTGGCTTCTTGCCAGGCTTCGTACGCAGGCCTAGCCTTCTAACTCCAGTATTCAGTTCCCACTCAGCTCTAGCCTCAGCTTCAAGCTCTTAGTTAAGAGCCTTAATAGCCTTACAAGCTTCTTCCTTCTGCTTTCTTAATTCAGGTTGCCAACAGTGGCAAGGACCTTTCTTATCATATAAGAAGCTCCCCCAGAACATAAACTCAGAGTAGCCTTTCCACCTCTTACGTATAGTACTGCGTAGAAAAGCTTCATTAGATTTCCTCTAGATCCGATATCCTCCACGGCGGTAATTAAGGACTACAGAGGTCTTATCTGTCTATATAACATTCTTCCAATCCTCAAGAGTCCACTTCTCTCGCTCCTTGCACCAGGCTAGTCTCTCCTCCCTAATCTTCTTGGTCAACCCAGGCTTCCTCGTCGGCTTCGTCTTCTTGTAGCCTGCCTTCTTGAGTATCCGGCGCACTGTTGTAGCAGAGATATTGACTCCCTCTTGACTAAGTTCGCCAGCGAGATCAGCATAGCTCTTCTCTCTTCCGTATCGATCGCGTTCAAGTTTCTAGGTAATAGATTGACGTACAGCCTCGGTTTCTTTAGTAGGGCGTCCTGAGCGAGGAGCATCTTCAAGGTGAGCGTTGCAGATAGTAACAGGTTGTGAGGCGTTATATTCAAATCCTCTCTTGATAGCTTTGGCATATATACTTCGAACAGTAGACTCGGGAAGGCCTGTAAGGTAACAGACCTCACTATTCGACTTTCCTGCAACGGATTTGAGAGTAACAACAAGTGCACGCGTAGCGATATCATGATTTGGAGCCATGTTGAGCTGATCTGATTGAGAATCGCTGAAAATTAATGAATATGAGGGGCTTCAGGAAGGCCACGTCAAAACAGCAAATGCCAAGACCTATGGTGCGTCAGTGCGTTGTCTACCCCCTGTCGCGAAGACTTTTGACGCGCTCCTCCGTATATTTACCTGCATTTACTAGTATTGTATGTACAATATAATATCAATAGTATGGCTCAGCCGACAAGAAGACCTTGCGAATAGAAACATATGGAACAGAGTCGTTGACCATTCCGTCGGCCAACCCAATAGAACCAAGCCGATTGATCGAGACAAGCTTATACGTCATGGCTAATATATTACGGATTTGCGTATACACCAAATTGCTTGCAACGGCTATTTGATTGTCGACCCGAACAGGCTTTGTGGGTCTCGAAAGGGGTTGCGCGGCAAGTTTGAAGTAGGTTAGCCGACCATGGGCTGCCACTAGCCCAAACCTATCTCATACACCTGCACCCGGTGGAAGAAAAAAGCGGCACCGCAAAAATGGCTTGGCGCACCACAACACGGCGGGCACCCCACCAAAACAACGTGTAATATATCATTTTGAACGCCAGAAATCACTTGTGAGGCTGTAAATATCTCGTGGGTATATATATATATATATTCAATTCTTTAGTGTTGAGACTGTTTTATGACTGTTTTTCTACCAAATTTGCTCACCAGCCAGTCATTTGGCCGTCCAACTCAATACAATCGCGCAGTCTTCGCGGCATACTATCTACCTATTCATTAATATAGTATTAAGATACTTTCTGCCACCCCTCAATAGCTAATTCACGAGTTTCAAACTCGTCCCAATCCGGATATCTTAACATAAACTGCTTTGGTGGGCGCCAACAGTTCTCAATTAGTGCTAAATCTAGTGATGACGGGCAGTTGAAATACGACTCTAAGCCGTTGTGCTGTTTCCAAGATTTAACGATATTCCCACCCTTGGAATGGCCGCCGCCGTGCCCACTATCATTATCTTCTTCAAGTACGAAGTCGTCTCCACGCTAAAGCCATAGCTTAACTATTAGCTCAAGTATCTAATCCCGATATACTAAGTAGCTCATCTTTCCGCTGGAAGATTTAGTGTTATAGAAGTATAGATCTAATTTAAAATTATAGCCAATAGCAACCCAGGAGTGCTGCCTTTGGTGGGCTTTTTCGGTGTGTCGATCCAGAGTATAGTAAATACAGTCTGCGCAGTATCTCTCACCAAGTTTTCTAATAATTTGTATCTTTTCTTCGGCTCCAAGAGACCAGTATACCTCATCAGAAAAGCGTACGCGGCGCCAGTCTTCTGGTTTAAGATATCTTTGAAGCATAACTTCTACCCAATTCTTTCTTCTTTAGGCCAGCTTGGCTGACGTCCAGCCCTTTAAGCAGGCGATACACTTGTGGTAGTCCATAGAGCCCATATACTCTCTCAAAGTTCTACCAGTTACTCCAAGATCTAGCTCCTCCGAGAGCTGAGACCAAGTTAATACTCTTACAGACCAGCCAAGCTCTTGAAGAAAGCGGTCACAACGGTCAAGATCTTTGGCAGAAAGTAGTTAGGGACGGCCGCGAGTCTCTTGGGTTCCTTCATTGTTATTGTATCTCCAATCAAAAAGCTAGTTGTCTTGTTTTAGTATAGCCCAGCCACGACGCTTAGAGACACCAAAATATCGAAAAAGATCGTTATGGTAGAACGGGATCTTCTTATACTTCAAGTACTCAGCAGCGCCCTTCAGTCGCGCTTTTTTCGGTGCACCAAACTGTGAAACGATACTTTGGGACATTGCGAATCAAGTGCAGCTAAAATTTTTAAAAACTATGGTATGGTTGTGAAGATACAGATGGTTGAAGTTGGTGACTTTTGCTATCGTCATCAAGTTTGGTGGGGCGGCTCGTGCGCGGTGCCGCTTTTTTCTTCCACCGGGTGACCTGGTAAAACCGGAAAATGAAAAAATAACCAGGCATCACGTACATGGAATATTTCAACCATAACGTACTTATATC